GCATAGTGATTACTCAGTAAACATTAACTAGTATTTATTTAATAAATATGCCTGGGGTATAATAGATAGTTAATAAACAGCTACTGAAGTTATTTAACAATCACGTGAATAATGTTTATTATGTGCCAGGCACTGTTCTAAGCATTTTATGGATGTTAACTCATTTTATAGATAAAAAAACTGAAGCACACAGAAGTTTATTAACTTGCCCAATGTTATAGAGCTGGTGAAGCCAGGATGCAGACACAAGCGTCTGGTTCAGTATCCATGCTTTTAAAAAGAATGAATAAATATACCCTTGATTGGGGGGAGGGGGCAGGGGCTTCATCTACAGGAGTTACTCAGTTCTCACTCCCTGCCTCTTTCAGGTCCTGGGATTTCCTGGTTGGGACGTGTTATCTCTGGGATGTCAGTGAGGCTAGTTGGAAGCCAGAGGTGAACCACCAGGGTGGCCACCCCCACCATGTCCCAGGTGATGTCCAGCCCCTTGCTGGCAGGAGGCCATGAGATAGGCTTGGCTCCTTGTGAGGAACCCAGGAAGGCCCTGCACCCAGCACCTAGCCACAGCCTGCTGCCCCAGTGTCCTTACTACACCACAGAAGGCTGGGGAGCCCAGGCCCTGATGGCCCCCACACCCTGCAAGGGACCCCCCAGCAGGCTCCAGCAGGCCCCACAGCCTGAGGCCAAAGCCAGCTGCCCCCTGCAGACCCCTGGTGAGCAGGCCTCAGGGACCCCAGAAGAACTTGACTCCTACATTGACTTCTCACTGGAGAACCTCAACCAGATGATCCTGGAACTGGACCCCACCTTCCAGCTGCTACCCCCGGGGTCTGGTAGCCCCAGGGCTGAGCCTGCCCAGAACACTACCTGGAGGAGAAAGAAAGAAGAACCTGAAGCCTTGGGTAAGAACCTGGACACAGGACCAGGAGGGGGGCTTGGGACCAGACCTCATGAGGAAGAGCGACTTTCCTATAGAATCAGAGGAGCAGGGGACACCATACTGTTGGGAGGTGCTGTGCAACTCTAAACAAGTTACTAACCTCTCTGTTTTCTCTGCTACGCAAAAGAGATAAACACAAGTTTCCATCATTATCCAATTCTATTTGGTTCCTGAGTTTGGAAAGTGATGGATACCTGTTTTATCCAATTTTTATGGGAACTTAAATAAACTAATACTTATAAGTACAATGCCATCCATGTAAGTAAAAACTGGATAAATGTGGAGTCCCTGAACTCCAGTGTTCTGTGGTGTCTCTCTTTAGGTCCTAGCCTGGGCCCCTTGAAATTTTTGTAGGATTGCTATCTGAACCCCTATTTCTGTTTAGGGAAGTGTCTCTCTGGGGAGGCCCAAGCTGGAAATAGTGGGGTTGGAGAGACACAAAGTGTAGTCTATATAGGGTGGGAACCCTGTTGTGTTCAAGCAATGATATGATGACAACGTTTAAAAACTGGTTCCCGGGCCGGCCCGGTGGC